GTGATTCGATTGTGTTTCTTAGAGCTGATAATGGAGATCTTTGTGTGGGAATTCGTAGGGTGAAAAGAGGACTAGGGAGTGGACATGAGTATCAATCTGGATGGAATTCCAGGGGTGGAAGTGGGAGTTATTCTCCATTCTTGAGGGAGGGGGATAGTAAGTTTATGAGGAAGGATTGTACTGGTGATATGAGGGGAAGAGTAAGGGCTGAATCCGTGATTGAAGCTGCCACTCGTGCTGCTAGCGGGCAGCCTTTTGAGGTCATTTACTATCCACGAGCAAGCTCTCCTGAGTTCTGTGTGAAGGCCTCATCGGTTAGAGCTGCCCTGCAGATTCAGTGGTACCCTGGGATGAGGTTCAAAATGGCTTTTGAAACCGAGGACTCTTCACGGATTAGCTGGTTCATGGGAATGATATCTACTGCCCAGGTCGTTGACCCCATCCGCTGGCCTAATTCTCCATGGCGTCTTCTGCAGGTATTTTAGTTTTACTTCGTGGCTTGCCATTTGAAATTGCAATACCATATTTTCTGAGCATTAATAGTCTGCTCATGGATTTGTTTGATTTAACGTCTTTCAGGTAGCATGGGATGAGCCAGATTTACTCCACAATGTGAAGCGCGTTAGCCCATGGTTGGTTGAATTGGTCACAAACATACCGGCGATCCATCTGAATAATCCTTTCTCACCACAAAGGAAAAAAATGCGGTTTCCACAACACCCCGACATGTCCTTACCTTACCAAATTCCGATGCCATCATTTTCCAGCAACTCTTTCAGGTCCAGCAGCCCTGTGTGTTGCATTACTGACAACATTCCTGGAGGCATACAGGGAGCCAGGCATGAACCGTTTGGATTATCTTCAACAGATCTCCACTCCAACAAGCTGCATCCGGGTCTGTTTCCACTTGGTTTTCAGCAACTTGATCATACTGCTCCACCTACTCGACTCTCCGGCGACAACTTTAGCGGTGACACTGGGAACAATAGGAATATATCTTCCTTGTTAACAATTGGAAATCCGGTCCAGAGTTCGAAACGAAGCAATGAAACAAAGACACCCCATATCTTATTGTTCGGTCAACTCATTTTCAGTGAGCCACAGGCTTCTCAGAGCTTCTCAGCTGATACTGTTGTAAACAGTTCATCAGACGGGAATACGGAGAAAATTGCAATTTCCTCTGATGGAACTGGACCTGCCTTACAACAAAATGCTCGGGAAAATTCTTCAGATGAAGGGTCTCCCTGGCCAAAAGTTCATAAAAAAACTGAGCTCAGTTTGGAGGCTGGTCATTGCAAGGTGTTCATGGAATCAGAGAATGTAGGAAGGACCCTCGATCTTTCGGTTCTCGGATCATATGAAGAGCTGTATGGGAAGCTGGCCGACATTTTTGGCATAGAAAGTTCGGAGATGCTGAGCAGTGTGCTCTACTGCGATGCTTCCGGTTCCATAAAACACACTGGGGATGAGCCCTTCAGGTATTACAACAGGTTCCCTTAGCATCAATTTCGTTACGTTTGCTAAACATTTACTTTCGATTTATCCAACATTTAATTGTCTTGCAGTGATTTTATGAAGACAGCAAGGAGGCTAACGATTCTTATGGATTCGAGCAGCGACAACTTAGAACGATAGAGAGACGAACGGATTCCGCAAATTGTACAGTTTTCCAAGCCTTGGGTTTTGATTTCCATTTGATTTCTTCTCTGGTGGTTATGAGAAAGCTCCATTTCAACAATTCTTATGGAACTGTAAACCACATTTAGTTGGTTAAAACTCCAATTTTCTTTCTACATAAAAAGGATCGACATCCTTCGTCTCGTTTAATTTAATTCTGTGCCCTAGAAACTGTATATTTCTGAACCAAAAATGGTGTATGCTGCCATTTTTGCTCCTCAATCTGAATAAATTTCATCCTTGGTTAATCAATGAAACTATTTTCAATATGATGAACACCGCAAGAATCAGACGAAAACATCCTAAAGAATATGTTAATCGACAGGGAGAGACATTTCTATTGCCTAGGTGGGAATGTCCGTTGCCATTTTCTTTTCCCTAAAGATTAAGACAAATGAAGATTGACCTTTTTTGTGTGTTTTCATGGGACCTTTTCTCCATGTCGTGTTATGTGTTCTAGAGATCCAAACCCCACTGGTTATCATCATGTCTGTCTGAAAATTCCCAGATAGGGACGGAGAACAAACCAGGGGACCTGGTTATGTGTTTCAACAGCTTGTGGTAATTAATGAAGGGAATCTTACAGGTTGTTAAACATGATGCAGTTATGTCTATGCTATAGGCTTAGGATCCATTTGATAATGCGGTGCTAAGCTCTAAAAGTCAAATGTTTACGTAGGGAAGACAACCATCTGCATTGGGATCTTCTATCACATGTACAGAGTCAACAAACATATATACATTTATATATATATATATATATATATATATATATATTAGGATTTCATGTTCACTTGTACTAGAAAAGGGATTGGTTTGAATAAAGCAAGATTTTTCACAAACATTTCCTTGGGATTGTTGATTAAAAGCATTTAAAAATAAAGTCCACTCCCACACACTCTCATATGCATCTTTATTTTATTTTACATCAAATCTAGAATATATAAATTCTTTAGTCCTTATGATACACTACTTCTAGAGTTCTGAAAATATGAAAGAAAAAAAACCAAAAACATTCAAATTAGTTGGAAAGATGTCTTCTTTTTTTGGATAAACTAATAATTTAGTCATCCATATATTACTTAGTTTCTATTTACGTCACCCAATTATTTTTTTTAAAATCATACATAATGTTATATTTTTGTTATGTTTTAGTCACCATCGTGATATTTTTATTATTAATTTCTCATACAAACTTGACATTATCTTATGATAACACATCAACACCCATTAATTTTTTTAACTGTGGGTTACCAAAAGAGAATCAAAATGTAATGTTAGGGTAAGATTTTGAAAAAAAAAAACAATAATTGGATGATTAAAATAGAAACTAAATAACAAGGGTGGTCAAATAGATAGTTTACCGTGTTTATATTTGAATGGGTTTTTGAGTTTGAAAAAAAAACAAATGAATTAAAATTTTAAATCAAAATATTATATTGAATTATTTGATTAATTTTGACGCTTAAATCTTAATGAATCGTTTGTTTGGAGTCGTTTGAGTATATCTAAAATTATGGAGATATTGCCGTTAATGTTTAAGTTGTATCATTTATATAAATAAAATAATTTTGAAGAATTCGACGCACAACTAGCAGCCAAATTAAAACTTTATTCAATTTCATCCATAAAAGTTGACTCTTGTATTTACTAGCATCAATTAATTTCGAGAAAAATGCAAATCACACATTGGGATTTGAATAAAAAATACACCAAATTGTTGAACTCAACGCGATGACTTTTGACTGATGAACAAATAGAAACGTAATTATTTAATTTACATAATTAATTGATTTAAAAATAAAAACATAAGATTCGAAGTCAAACAGGGAATGCCTTGCACAAGGCAGACAAAGATTCGTGAGTCACTGCCCCACTCTTTTATAATATTCAATATCTCACTTTACTTACAACTTCTCTTCGTACTATCGTTTCCCCTCTAAATTCTCAACCCTTACGATGTTTAATGGATTAGTTTGACGGTTTGATTAGTATAAACATAATCTTCAAAAGGACATGCATTTAAGTTATTTGTCAATCATTTTTAAAGTGATTACAGTCGATACTTTTCAATAGGAATAATTTAGTCAATCGACTAAATATGCTTGATTTTTTTGAATTGAAAGAGAAGGCGAAAACATCAAATTAAGTAGGAATAAATTAATACATCTTTTTTAGTGGTTGACGAATTTTTTAACGAACTAGACACCTAAAACAGTAACGGAGAAAGCGTTAAGTATTTGTTTTGAACGAAAAATATTTTAGACACTTAAAGTTAACAAAAAAATATAATTTGAACACTTATTTTTTCATTAATCACTAGACATGGATATACAATATCATTAAAATTTTAATATTTCAAACTATTTATATTTTTAATGTTTTCTAATTATATTTGGCTACTATGTTTTCAAGTTTTATTATCCGCTATTTTGTGCATAATAGGATATATAAACTAGTTTTTAACTTATTACTTATTATTCGAAAATAACTGCTCAAATAATATAATATATAGGGTAAATTTATAAATAATCATTTCATTATTAACATCTTTCACTTTTGGTCATCTAACTATCAAAAGTTGTATAATAATCACTCAATCTATCGATTTTGTATTTTAGTTTCATTTCCATTAGAGCACTAATCGGAGATGACATGGTTGTTACCTAAATTTAATTATCATATAATATAGGTAAGTGTAAAAACATTCGATCCGAAAATTTGAATATCCGGTCTATTTTTTAATTTTTGGATAATTTAGATCGAATATACGAGGAAAACGGATAATCAAATAGATACGAATCATAAAAAATTTAGTTTCGAATGAAAAGGAAATAGAGAAACCAATGTTTGATGGAAAATGAAGAGAACATGCGGTGTTTGAAGAAAAGGAAAGAGAGCACGGATAATCAACCAACAATTATTGAAACGAAAAGACATCAATTTATGTCCGACATATATCAAAATTAATTAACACGAGAATACAATCAACAAAATCGAACCACGTCCAATATCTCTCAAGATGCTATTCTACCATTCTTTAGATATCCGCCTATGAGTTTCATGTATATGTTGTGATTACTAAAGAAAATGATAGTAGTAGTCATTGTATGACACAAAAACAATAATACAACATTAATAAACGATGGTGTAGTCTTAATACCAAATAATCATAGATAAACCCTAAACACAAATAACCATAACCCTAGTAGGGACCTTAACAGCAAGTAAAAAAAATTGGCAATTTAAACAATAAACGAAAATTAATATATGGATTAACAATGGTGTTTCCTAATTCTAACACCCAATTAGTATCAATGCCGCTAAGGGCTTTGAGTTGGGACCGAATCACCGCAAAGAGGGCAATGCCTATTCTTAACCAACCATTGATCTATGCAAGGTTGATGGTATAAATGTTTGCAGTTAGGCAGAAGTCTATAGGAATCTCCGTCTTTGAACTCTTCCAAACATATAGAACATTCGGTGTAATGTGATTCGATTTCTCCATTCTTGTATCGAAAATCGGTCCCGCTTATGGTTGGCCTTGAAGTTTGGTTGAGCTGTTGCACGACGTTAATGATTATCACATGACTTGGTAACGGATTTTCGACATCTTCGTTATTAGTCCGACGTTGTGTGACACCGACTACCGGATGGTTTGCTCCCTCCCGTAGACATCTAAGCAGTAGCTGCGGGCCGTTCCCGGGATCTATTTCGTTCATTAGCCGTAGGCATATACGCACTTCCAATACAATTAGTGCAACCATGAACGGCACAAGAAGACAAAACACAATGTATGCTACGATGTGTAGTAGCATGGTGAACAAAATAAAGAGATTCAAAGATTTGTGAGAGAGATTTGTAACACTGATGGATTTATATGTATATTTATTATTGTTACAGTTCTATTAAAATTAGAATTCTTTGTATTTATTAAAATATAATATATTTTCCTCTTTTTTCTAGGTATCTCTTATTCTACTAATATTCTTTCACTTCATTTTTTATAACATAAATATTATTTTTAAAATATATTTAAAAACAAATATATTTTTATATATCGAAACTCACACTAAATTCAATTGTGTTTATTTATTTTTTTATTTTTGACTTTTTCTAACTTTTGAAGATATTTTTTTTAATTAATAAGATATAATGATAAATTTAGTCTTACAAAGAATTCTAATTCTAATATAATTCTAACTTATAAATATATATAAATCCATCATTATTACAAATCTTTCTCACACATATTTGAATCTCCTTATTTCGTTCACCATGACACCATTCCTCATAGCGAGCTTAGTGTTCATTATTGTATGGTTGTTTACGGCTGCAGTGATATTTACGTTTGTTGTATGTCTTCAAGATATCAAGGATCGAGATTTCAGAAATGAATCGCGAGCAAGCTATCCTGTAGTCGGCGTCATGCAACGTCGGACTAACAATGAAGATCTTGAAAATCGGTTATCAGGTCATCTGGTAGTCGATCACGTCGTACAACAAGAACCATCGCAGATTCAGCTTAATGAAACTTCAAGCCCAACCATGAGTGGGACCGTTGTTTGATACAAGAATGGAGGAGAAATCGAATTACGGTGCACCACCGATTGTTCTAATGCGTAATATTAATTTTTGTTTATTGTTTAAATTACCAAACTTATTAATCCATTGAGCCATATTAATATTTTTAGTCATTTGCTAGTATGACATAATAGGATGTTTGCGTGTATATATATATGTCTAATAATATTTTTTAATATCATTTTTTCAAATATTTTAATCATTAATTTTTCATCTCTTTGACCTTTATTTAAAAAAAAATTCTAATAAACTCAATTAACTGATAAAAATAATAAAATTATTCATCTAACATAAATTAGCTCATCTTTTTATCACTACTAAAGCAAATTATTTAGTCTTTTTTTTGTGAAAAAAATCCAAAAGTTATTTAAACATAACACAAATATTTAAAAATAAAGCATTAAAATTTGTAAACATATAGAATATATATTAAAATTATTAAAACTGTATAAAAACAGAAAACGTGATTTTTTTTCAAAGTGGAAAATTTATTATTTTTTCTGTTAATTAATTTAATCTGACAAAAAGTAAAAATGAAAAAAAAATTAAATACTAAATATTATTTTTCAAAATAAAAATGTCATTAATATATATATATAACACATTTATTTATGTATGTTACTTATATTTGAATTCAAATTTATTAGAATATCTAAACCCTATTTCATGTTTCATAAATAGTTTATTCTTAAAAGTAATTCAATTTATATAGTCATGATTATTTTGATAAACTAATATGCTCATAGAATTCATTATTAAAAGATCAAATTAGTTTAAGTTTGAATTTGTTTGATGGCTTGAAATGAAGCCATATTAGCCGGAGTCATGCACCCCAAATTAAAAAAAAAAAGAAAAGGTTTTAACTAGTTGAATACGTTCTGTTGTAAACCTTAACCAAACAAGGTATTTGGTTCTGTGTTTCTGCCGCGTGTAGAGGGCCTTCATGTCCTTGTTTCAAATCCCAGTATTTACATCTTTTTCTTGACTGCACTTTTGCCTCGAGTAGAGTTGAAAGGTGCTTCCCAATCATTGTCTCTTTCCATGAGCATCGCTTCACAAAAACGGGCTTCCCTTTGCCTCTACTCGCCACAACAAGCACCGGCGGCAGAAGCTGCGGAGAGAGCTCTTCATACGATAACAACAAGCAGCAGCAAAAGACACCGACCGACGTTCATGAAAATTGCCCCAAACGATGCAAGTGAAGCGACTCCAAGGAAATCTATTTTACACTTTTGGCCAAGGAACTTCCATATACCGTGGTGCAACAAGGCATAGGTGGACTGGTAGCTACGAGGCTCATTTGTGAGATAACAGTTGTAGAAGAGAAGGGCACATCGCACACCGCACAAGGAAAGGAAGGCAAGTATATTTGGGAAGGTATGACAAAGAAGAAAAGGCAGCTAGAGCTTATGATTTAGCAGCACTGAAGTACTCGGGAACCACAACAACAACAAATTTTCCTATTAGCAACTATGAGAAGATTTGGAAGAAATGAAACACATGACCAGACAAGAATATATATGTTGCATCCCTTAGAAGGAAGAATCGTGGATTTTCTCGAGGAGCAGGAGTCACAAGGCACCACCAACTTTGAAAATGGCAAGCGAGGATCGGAAGAGTTGCCAGAAACAACGGGGACTGAATGCTGTGACCAACGGTAGCTATCAAGGAGTTGGGTACAGAGGAGGATATGTGATCCCCATGGGCACGGTTGTAGCCATTGACAATGACATCAACCAATATCAAAGCAATGGTTTGGAAGCTGACAATGAAGTGAAAGCCATTGGTTACGAAAACATGTATGCATCGACTGATCCGAATTATCATTCTAGAAACATGTACAACGTTTCGCATCAATCATCGACAACGAGTGGCGTGATTGCCTCGGCATGCAACGACTGGGTGCCGACTGCAGTTCCCACTATTGCACAAAGGTCAAACAACTTGGTGGTCTGCCATGGTTCACATGGACTGATACATAAAAAGGGATTATGTATACATGTCTGATTTCTTTAAGCTTTGATTTACTTTCCATCCTTTTAAATTAACTAATTCAAGTACTGATTAGGAACAAATATAGGCCCTTTTTTGGCTGACAATACTTTCTTTTGTTAAATCTTCTAGCATTAAGTTTTAGAATGAGATTAAACAAAAGATAAAAATCTGAACCACAGATCGCACATACATCATCTAATGATTCAACAATTTCTAATCTCAAAGTTGATCGACTCATAATGTCAAAACCACAAAAACTAAACACCAGTAATCTACCGACAATATGCTTGAATCCTCAATTCATAAAGACCATTACCATAAACTGAAGCAACCAATAGCAGTCTCTCATTCAAACACCATCAGGAATATCTTTTTAGCAATATTAATTTGTATTTCAATAAAGTAAAAAAGGAAAACATGAACAATAAAGTAGATTAATTCCCATCAAGAAGCTACGGTATTACATTAAGCCTATAACAATTTCTAAAATATGAAGCATGAGTAATTTCTGCTGCATAATTATCTCATCAACACCCTCGACGGCATCCACTGAAGCATTCTCATCGGCATCGACTGCAGCATCTTCATCGGAAGGCTCCATAGTAACCTTCGCTGCATCACCATCATCGGAAGCTCCACAATAACCTCCACTATAGCACCCTCATCGGCAGGGTCGGCAATAACCTCCGCTGCAGCACCCTCATCGGCAGGGTCGGTAATAACCTCCGCTGCAGCACCCTCATCGGCAGGGTCAGCAATAACCTCCGTTGCAGCACCCTCATCGGGAACCTCCAGAATAACCTCCTCCGCTGCAGCACCCTCATTGGCAAGGTCGGCAATTGTTGGATCTCTCCTTAATTGGAGAAGTTCTAGAAAATTCTTGAGCTTTCTGGAGAAGTATAGAATTTTCTAGAACATTCCGGAGAACTCTAGAGAAGTGTAGAACTCTCTAGAAGCTTGTGAAAGAGTGTGAAATCCTCTGAAATATTCTAGAGATGTGTGAAACCTTATGGAAAAGTATGAAAGAATATGCAAGAATATTCAAGGGAGTGAAAGATTGTAGAGCTTCTTAGAGTGTGTGGAGCATTCTAGATAATTAATCTCCACCATTGGATGTAAGTAATCTCCACAATTCGTTGTGGAGGTGGAGTAGTATAAATAGGGGTGAAATACTTCATTTCTAACCATCCAAGAAATCCAAAAATACTAAGAGAGTCCACTTCTTAGAGTGAGAAACTAGAGAGTTAGAGAGCCTCTTTTAGAGAGAAGAGAGATATCTTGGGAAGTCTTTATCCTCAAGCTTGAGATAGCCACCAAGTGTGAGTCAAATTTTGTGAACACGTCATTGTAATCATACTATTCTTTTGTATAGTGGAAGAATCTCCAAATTGGAGAATTATACTCTTGTGATCTCTTTACTATCCTTAATCTCTAAGTGCTTATCTTAACTTCACGAAGCGGGAAAGACCGTGATTTCCAACAACAATAACCTCTGCTGCAGTACCCTCCGCTACAGTACCATCGTCAACCTACAGAATAACGTCCGCTGCAGCACCCTCATTAGCATGATCTGCAGTACCCTCATCGTCATGTACTGTAACACCCTCTTCGATAGCATTCACATCAGCCATTGTTGCTTCTTCGTTACGATGCTTATATTCGTATTTCAAATAATTACGAATCATTAGTGTGTTGGGACCGTCGGCGCGCCCCATGGCGCAGCGGAAACAAAACTCGACGGTCTCACTAGCGATCCAAGTACGAAAAACTGAAATCGGGAGGAAGAGATGTGAATACTTACAGTGGGTTCCTTGAAAAACAGTAAGGACATCACTGAATACTGGTGGTGTAGATCGATTCGAATCGTAAGCCTCCACGAAATCACGTCTCAGCCTCTACTCAGTTCACCCGATTGAGAGCAATCTTTGTTTTCCCTAAAACTCTTTTGAGAGAAAACGACTGAATGTTTTGTGTGTGTGTTGCAAAAACGGCTGTTAGACCTAACACACCCTTTTATATCCATTACCCTAACATCTTAGGGTTTTTAAAGTTGTTTTGAATTAATAAATAAAATATTATTTAATTAATTCAACTTAAATATACATTAAAGACTTATAATCAGAATTACAATCTTTAATGTTTACTTAAAACATTTATTTAATTATTTCGAATTATATATATATATATA